CCCAATTTAATTTTATTCGTTTTACAAAATTCAGCTTGATTAAACTTCCCCAAATGTATTTAAGGAAATCGATTGAGTACTCATTCGAGAGCGCAGTTTTAAAGTTGGAATGCAAGCCTAAGTAAAGTTCATTATCTTTCAAATGAAGCACACATCAGAGTAAACACAGCATGGCAAGCTGTCAAACTGGGTGCATGCATGTGACACTGCTTCAGTCTTGAATATTTACTCAATACAATTACTCTGGCGCTCAGAGATTTTGGAAAGATCCTGAATATATTTTAGATATATAAAAACCTACCACCAAATTCATTTAATTCCTGAATTAAGGTAAGCAACTTGGTGGTCATAATTTTCATATTTCACTTCCTCGTCACATGAAGTAAGATTAATTTTTAACCTATTTACATTATCAGTGATTTCAATGTTTCCATGAGCAGTTCTTTTTGAATATTCATCTCATGTATTGCTACCTTAAAAAACTGAAAGTTACCATATCTCAACAACCATGAGAATGTTACACCAATTTACTTAGTGTCAGCCGAGGACATTACAAATGGTCACATATGATAATCGACAAAAGTATACGGGCTCTGTATTGAACCGCGATCGCGGCTGTAACGAATATACTGAAAAAACGCCGCTTTTAACTGAATTCAAATCTAATTTCTTCGGTTAAACTAAATTGAAATGAAATCACGTATTTGTAGGTGATAGGAAAACCGCAATCCAAGCTTTAAAAATAGTTGCAACCCGTTAGAAAATGACGATTGGTATCCTTGGATTTTCCAGGCTATCTAAGAGACGATAATTTGAGAGCAGTCCTAAGCCTAGCCTTTCGAACTTCTTTGACCAAATGAAGCTGTCAAAAATGAGGTGTATGTTATGGGCTCTATTCCTATTACAAACTTTTTGTAATAGGAATTGAGCTTATCGCATAAAATTAAGTTAAACAATGATTCTCCGATGACGAGTTGAATATTCATATAAATTTCAATGCGCAGTGCCAAAATATTTTTTTGAAATCATTACTCAGTTTATTGGCGCACCCACAAAAAGATTTTTTGAAAAGAAGTCCATGTACCCTGCTTATTCACTAGTTCTTTATGGAACGAAATCCTTTTTGTAGAAAGGGCAATGCTATTAGATTTAACGAAAAGAGTAGGTGACCTTTTTCTATTATTTATTATTATTATTGTTATTATTTATTATTTCAGTTATCTCAACCTGGAGTGGACGAAATGAGTACTAGTTATTTGCTAAGCGAAGTATCTCTGCCCGATGTGGTCTATTGGCCCTTAAAGTCCGTCATAGCATTGGTAGCTGTTCTTGGCAATGGAGTGGTTATGTGGTTGATCTGTACGAGAAGGCGTTTGCACTGTACAGCAAACTGGTTTGTTCTATCATTAGCTTCAGCGGACTTTTGTACCGGCTTGATTGTTACACCATCAGAGCTTTTTTGTCTTTGGAAAGCACAAATGTGTATCTGGCCACTTAAAGTGCGCGCGTCGTTCTATAACTATCCAATCAACGTATCGATATACTGCCTCTGCGTGCTGACATTTGACCGTTATTTCTACGTGCTTAGGCCCTTACAATATACCAGATGCATGACCTCGAAACTAATCGTAGGTCTTATTTCCACGTCATGGATGTTTCCAGGAATTTTAAACTTTGGCTCTCTTCTCTGGCTTGAAGCTCCAAATCACATTCAAGAAGAAGCTGATAAAGTTCATATCTTAACACTAATATTTCTTGTCTCTTTTCTTCCGTCTATCTTTCTGGTTTATTCGTACACTCGGATACTTTTTGCAGCTATGAAACAGCGACGACTATCGGCCGAGCACATCACTCAGTTGAGATTTAATGAAGGGAATGCAGCCGAAAGTCGGCGAAATCAATCGCGTAGACGGCGCGAACGTTCCTCGACAGTCAAAGTGCTCGGTGCTGTCATAGCCTTTTTTGTACTTTGTTGGATCCCCTCTGTGTGTCGTGCAGTATGTGGAACTTTTCATTTGTGTAATGTATCTGAAGCCCTGGTCAAGTCCTCGCGGCTTCTTATTTTGTTGAATTCGGGAATAAACTTCGTTGTTTATGCTTTTCTGAAAAAGGATATCCGGAAAGAACTGTACTACGCGTGCAAAAGGCCAGCAAGAAGATCGAAGGAAAACATCTTGCTAGTAGAGCGATCGTCTAGAGCCAGCAGTGAGTCGAATCGTAACTCGATAAGAGTGGTGCGATGAACTAAGAATCTACAAAAAAAGACTTTGGTCCGAAAGGAAACTTTATTGGCTCGTGTTTTTATACTGAGAATCATTTTTCGTATAATTTTATGGCTTTCTGAGTGCTTATGAACTATTGTACTCAGAAAATGAGGTTATGATATTGTCAAAGGTGCGGCCGAGTTATACTCTTTGATTAACTCTCTTTAACCATCTATGTGCATGTATTTTGATTCTTAATGCCTCTATTTATTTCGATACTTCCTTCAAGCCGCCAGCATTGCCCCTCTCAATCTTGGAAGAGAGAGAAAACATCAAGCTAGGGGCTGTTAAATTAACTTTCTGCGCACGTGGGGTGATTCCTTGTGTGAAGGCACTGTCCTGTTACAAGCGCACATACAGTAGGACCCATTAGTCTTGATATTTCGAACCAGAAAGGTTAGGCTTGTGCACCTTTGACGATACATCAGACTCGTCAATCACACTGAATTTTTCTAGGATGCATGAAAAATGTTCAAGCAATCAATTTGCAGGGAATCTCAGGGCTGGTTTTCTTCCATTTCTAACCTTCCATCTTCCGGAACTGTTTCGTATGCCGATGAACTTAAGGAGCTGAAAGCACACTGATCGATTAACAACGATTATGCTACGTCAACGATACTGCCCTCCCATAAGGATGATGCATTGAAGTTTCTTTGCGCAAATGTTCAGCAATATATAATTCAGTATTCAATAAGTCGAGACAATTATGATTTGTAAGATCATGCGCATGATTCAACACTCCTCTTATTTAGATGATTCTTTCTTAACACTTGATACACTTTAGATAGTCGGAAATAAAAAAGAGAAATTTATAAGAAAATTTTGCTAAGAGCAATACCATTTGAATTCATTTTTCATTCCTCAAAAAGGAAAAAGTTAAGGCAAATACTTATCTTATTCTAACACGTAAATAAGTGGTATAATTCCTCTTCCCTGACATATTCAATGGGCCTGTTTGTTCAACCTTCGGTGTGCAGTATTTTAAATATATTTAATCTGCATTGAGTCACGACAAAAAGTTTTGTAGTTCATCGAAATGTAACAAAATATCGATATAGCCCAAGACAGATATGAAAATGGACTTAGGCAGAATGCTGAAATTCTCATTCTTTCGAGAAGTTAATTGTGATTTCATTTTGATATATTGTTCCAAACGTCATGGTTTATCTCTTTTTCTTGTTGATTCAGCTGCTAGGTTAAACTTGGGCTCTGTTGCATGATCATTTACTAATTAAATCTAGGGTTACTTCACGCCAAAAAAACAACACGAAACGAGCAGATGATTTGATATTGATACGCTTTGTTTGCACTGGCTATTTATTTTCATAAGAACCCTGCCAATTAACAAATGACTCAAAATTTGTAGTGCTAATTGAAAAAAATAAAAAATTTAATCAGTACGAATAGTACACTCACCTTAATTAAAACACCCTCACTCTCAACTGAGAAACGAAGAATAGTGAAGACAGTTTCAGACCATGAAGGTGCCCTTATCCGTAACTTGTTTGGTGTTGCTTTTGCTTCCACGTGGTAAGTGTTTCGTACAAGGGACTTAAAATGGCCAATGAATGGTCGCAATATTAATATGAAATAATAGAAAAATGGCCTTTATTTGAAGAACAGGAGCTTCAATGGTTGCCCCCGATTTTTGGGCAAAAAATTGTTATCTTTTAACGAAAAAATTTAGAAATTCATGATTTCTATGATACATTGGTTGCCATAATTGATTAATTCTATACTGGACCAAAAGATTTCTGATGTAAAATCCATACGTTTGATGAGACAATAATTTCTGTAGAATTTATACAATCAGGGATTCGCCTTTTTGGATACGAAACGAAGGAACAGACCAATTGATCACATTCACATGGTTAGATATGTTCCGTTGGATTATAATTGCACATTAGAGTCAAGCATCGTTATAATGGGTTCTAAAATCATTTTACACCATCATCTGGAACTTGAAACACTAATGACATAAATAGTAGTGCAAAACCACTGAATACTTAATTAAAATGGTTTAGAGATCAATGATTTCAACTGCTGCAAGTATCCAATTTTTCAAGAATACCGCAATAAATCATGTTGTACCAGTTGTTCTCTGGTCATGCCGTGATGATTCAACTACTTCCTTTATGGTTTTGCAGCCAACTATTGTTGACTGTGTCCTGTTTCTGATGTGAGTCATAATGGATTGGTTCCTTCTAATTTTCACGTCTGTTCTGATTGGTTGTTGTGAAAAGCGCTGTCTCGGTTTTGCCTTCCTCAATCGAGTGAACCTCTGCCTCCCTCAATCGAATGAGCTTCTGGACATATATCAACTGAGGATGATTTAACTCCTTTGATTTCCATCCCATTGATATACCGTTAGTATTACACTGCTAAATAATCATCATATCACCAACTGTATAAGGGCTTTTTAATTAGACATTAGCGTCACATTGTTCTAGACAAGTATCTAGAGAAAACAGAGAAGTATTATTTTGATGTATGAATCATTTTATTATTTTGTTATACGAAGGGGAAGGTTTGTCGTGCTATGAGTGCTTGGAATCTTCCTCGTGGGACCAGTGCACGAACCATCAGGAACCTCGTTACTGTGAACCCGGATGGAAATGTGTAATCATGAAAGAGAAGGCTAAGGGGAAGAACGAGTACTATTACCGAAGAACGTGCAGTGAAGAGTCAGTGTGTAAAGAGTTCTGTAAAGACAAACAGGATTGCGTTTACTCTTGTTGTGGCAGCGATAACTGCAATAAAGGGGAGATCTAAGGAAATGGCTCTTGGATAACTCAACAACATAAATGAGTTTTGCATATGATATCAATAAAAAAAGCATTTATCTGTACAAGGTTTTAAATTTTCGCTGCAGTAAATGCTCGATAATTGATTGAATTAGCATAATAAGGGGAAAAATCCTGAAAGGGGTTTAACGGTTTCGAATATTTGATAGATCCTTCACTTTTCCGTCGATTCTTTTGTGTTTCTCCTCAGACCAACCAGTTGTAATCTGGGGAATCACCGCATGTTAAATTTGACAGGCTGGCGAGTAAAGGGGATGTTGTGTGTGTACATGTAATTAGCAGGAGACATACTCACAATTCGCTGAAATTTCCGTTCAGGAAAAGCAAAACTAAATTACAATTTTCGCACTCAGAATACTTGAAAAACAGATGTATTCCCGTAGCTCAGGGCTATAACCCGTAATAATTGACTTAAAAAGGTTTTCCTAGCCTGCCACAGGCTATACCTTGGGAGTTTTATACTTTTCGCAAACGAAACATACGTTATTAAAGGAAGATTTTAAACTGATCAGCTTGGGTCTCGAAGAATATTGACTGAGGACCAAGCAAAACAACACATGCAAAAAAAAAAAACACTGTAAAATTTAGTTGAAAACGCTTAAAATTGAAAACTCCAGCTCAAAGACAAAGAATGAGAATCATGTCAGATAAATTATCGCTTTACTTTCCTTTTATTTAAGGCGTAATAAAACATCTTCGACGCCGCTTAGCTGAGGGGAGGCTCATCATGACTTAAGAGAAAAAAAAAAAAAAGAAAAAGGAAATGGCAGGGACTTTGAAAAGCAATACAAATATGTGGAATGATACATACTCCTATACAAATGTGTGGAGAAAAAATGCTCTCTTGCTCTATCATTAGAGAAAAAACGCCTTTTTTCAGGTAAAAACATACCGCGAATTAGACTGAATTTGGCTAAATAATTGAAATGCGCATTCGAATTTACTTGAAATTAAGAACTGAAATAAAATGATTGATCTGGCAAACAAAACAAAAAAAAGAGAAAATTGAATCAAAATATTGAAATATAAAACATCGAACTTTACATCGGTCGGAGGAAACCGCGAAAGAAAAAAACACGTCTGTCCAGTTTAGTTTTTACGAAGTACGATGTACGAAGTTATCAGCCGTTTGAAAAAGTTAATGAGAAAAGAGAAATATTAATACTGCCAATGACTACTTTTGCATTCGGTAAACAGTCGCACCAAAAGCAAACACGTAAGGTAAATAAACCAAATGATGATATGAGATTTCTTCCTTTTTCTATTTACAGTAGAGATCTATAAATGCGCTCTATATTTGTCCGGATTGTTTTTCTTTCAAGAATTTCGCAATAGCGGAGGTTACGTTTTTACTGATAATAATCTCGATTTTTCCTCGGGACTAACAATTGTATTGAATTGAATTAACAACTGAATTAGAAATTATAATTCTAATTTATATACAACAAAATTTTTAACAGAAGATGGATATGTAAAGCAAAATAATTTGATAGTGTCAATATTGAAAATGTAAAATAAAAAAGAATTTTCGAATGTTGTGCGACTTTGATGCATAGCAAAAGTCGGAAAACTGCTTAGAAATATAAAGATTATGAGTGAAATTGAAAAAAAAAAAACAACTATCGAACAGGAGGAAATGCATAAGATTTCAATTTGACATTGTATTGAATGTAAATAAAATTTTGATTTCAAGCACCAGCAAGGTTTCTTCATCAAAGTGGAAAAAGCAACGTGGAAATCAAAATGATTGCCTCGAAAGCCGTTTTTTGTTAAGAACCTGTGCTGTTTTTGGGTTAGGATATGACAGAGAAGATCAAATAGAAAAGAAAATACAGGCCTTAATAGTTATTTATTTTGTATAGATGAGTGATTTGTATTCAAAGACGGCCTGCTTTATAAAAAGTAAAGATAGATAAGGATTTAAGACATAGAAGAGTGCTTGATTTTCAACGTTGAAAAGTAATATCTTCTGTCATCGTGAACGGTACAATAAAACAATGTTTTTGATTGAATTGCATATGACTTTGACATTTCCACATCAAAAACCGGGCGCTTTCCAGGGTCAACATTTATTTGCGGTTTTTACCTTCGATTCCTGTTTGATAAGCAAACACCGCAAATAAGAAGGAGATTAACTTCATAGTGGATCGTGCCATAAAAAAAATAATAGCTTGA